CTGCTTCTCTGGAGTTTGGGGGTTGGAGGGATAAGAAAAACAAAAACTATATACAAAATGGACTCATAAAAGGAGTTCTAATTCAGGGGGAGCACTGTTCATTGAAGGTGGAGGAAGACTGATATCTGCCTCACAGGTTCCTGACATGAGGCTTGAGTGACAGGCAAGCTCCCAAGATACCTGTAGAACTCACCAGAATGGAGGCTGTCTTTACACACACTCTTCTCTGCATGCTATGCCTTTGGTACTGAATACTGGAGGATAGATGGGCATGTGCTCAGATTGAAGTTGCTCCTCTGACTTTCTTTCCCACTGGCACCCCTAGCGCAAGTCCTCATCACCTCTCATTAGATTATACTTCAATGTCTGCGTCCAGCTCATTGCGTTTTGTCCTCCCTGGAGTTTGCCCTGCAATCATGACTAAATTAAAATTCCAAGTGCCAGCCTCTGATGATGTCGCTGTCCTGCTCAAATACTCCAAGACTCCCTGAAGCCTCCAGGACAAAGTCAAACTTGTCACTGGTCCTCCAGCCCCACTGGCCTTAACTCCCACAGTCCCCCTACCCAATGGAAATCATGTCGTGCCCACACCAATCTGTCCTTCTTTATCCTCCACTAAGAATATCTCACCTTCATGCCTCCATGGAAATCATGGACTCTAGTCATTTAGGTAGTCTTGGGAAAGTTACTTAGCCTCTCTGAGCCTCACTTTCTTCTGCTACAAAATGATGTTACCTAAGAGGGGAGAATTTTCAGGAAGAGGAACTGAGATCATATGCAAAGACTTAGCACAGTACCTCAAACATAGTAAGAGTCAATAAAAGTTAGCTTTAATCATAACCATCAAAATAATGATAATGGTGATAGTTCTGTCTCATGGCTTCTCTTCCACAAAGCCCTCTCTTATTCACCAACTGAGTACTATTCCTTTTTCTTTTGAAGTCATCCTGTATTTGTGGCCATTCCCATGACAGTGGCTTTCCCACGTATCCTGTCTCCCTCTTTGAAAGCAGGGGCTGACTGATCCACCTCTGAACCCCTTAAAATGGCCTCGTCTGAAAATGGATCCTGGCACTTACAGGAGTATGGTAAAGCTCTGTTTCATTTGGACGTTCCCCTGGATCGTGCAGAGAATGCCAGAAAATTCAGTGGCGATCCTGAACTGCTCTAGAGGAATGGGATTTCTCTTCAGAAATGGGATAGAGTAGCTCACTATGGCATCTCTCTGTCTGCCTGGACACACCGCCCAGTCTGGGCCACCAGAGGAACCAGTTGGCCAGCTTTGTGAACTTTGTCCTCACGCCCCAGCACCTTACTTCCCAAAGCCTAAACCAGTCATGTTATCGTTTGCCAGAAAGAACAAGGGCAAGTGAGCAAGAAGGAAAGTGGTACACTTATCACTGAGAATCTGCTTGGGAAATGGGAGAAGGGGAGAAGAGATCTTCCCTGAGCTTGGGAAGGGAAAATGGGAGTGAAGGGGAAATGATCTGTGGCATATGGTCTCCAAAGCTCAAAGGGAAGATGTTGCCCTCTACATAATGTTGATTAGGAAAAATTTCTTTCTAGTTCCACAGAGCTCCACAGCGGTGGACATGAACTCAGAAAGGTCCCAGCTTTCTGATTCATCTGACCTACAAGCCTTGGTCGGTAAACACACAGTGACCTCTGCTCTAAGCTGACCTCATTGAAATTCTTTATTTTGTTGTCATCGACAGCGTTAAAGTCTGGTCACAGAACTTCAGGGTGTAGGTCAGTTCACTCTAGGGTCTAGGTCAGTTCACTCACAGTAGCTGTCCTTTCTGAATTCCAGTCTGAAGACAGGCTGGGCCTGCCCTACGCCTCCCAGATCTGAAAGGAGCCCCAGGAATCATCCAGTCTAGTCTAAACCTGGGCCAGAAAGGGAGCGTCATACCACTAGACAGGGCTAGAGCCAGGCCTGCAATGCACTTTCCACTACCCCAAGATGCCCCCACTGGCTGTTCAATCCAAGGACATAACCCATGAAAAAGGGAGATTGTGAAATGCTTCTACTAGAAGCCTAGGGCTGGCTGAAAGCCCAGATGGTTCTCTCCTAACCTTCCTAACCTAGTCTCAGTTCAGCAGTTTGCATCCCACTGGTTCATGTTAACCCTTCTTCTTCATGAGACCATGGCCTGTCTTCCTGTGAGCAGCCCCTTAGAACAACCGAGCTGGCTTCTGTTTGTACCTTTCCAGATACCTCTATTGGCGAGATCTTTCCATTGAGCAATCTTTTTTTGCAAACTGGTCGACTCTCGCTTGCCCTTTACAATTACTTGGCAACTCTGCAAAACAGTAAACCAACTGTTTATTTTCATTTCAAGTTCAAGGCTAAACAACTAGCTTTGTATTTTTTAATTTCCTTGCAGAAGTTACTAGAGATTTCAGGAATTTCTGGTCTTTGATTCTTCACTACTAGGTTGACAGGACCCCATCTTCTGTTAGCCCCCAGTCTGTGCTGAGTGACACAAGAAGGTACCAGAAAGGAAGTGGTGCATCCTTCCAGAGAGAAGATGCCTCCTAAATGGAGACCTAATATTCACTCAGCCTTTTTTCCATCTACCCATTCCTGGGATCACCAAACCCATTCATGTGTCCATTGCGTCTGACAGCTTGGGTCATTATCTCCCATGTTCATTCTGTAATTTTATAGTTTAAAAAGTATTTTAACCTCCCTCATGGCATATGCTATCCCTGAGGGGCAGACAAGGCAGGTTTGCATATTAGAGAGAGATAATCATATATATATATGATTATATCTGGAACTGACCTAACCAAGGTTACACAGAAAGCAGTATAGTCGACCTCCTGACTCCAAGTTCAAGTAATCTTTCTTCTGCCAGTTACTGCTCTTATTACCCCATTCTTTTCAGACTTCTTTCCTGTCAGCAACTCCTGAATGCCCACTCCTAAAATTCGAATGACTTCTCTTGTCTTCTTAAGGCCCTCCACACTATAACTCCAAAGTGTCTTCCCAACATCATTTCCACTGCTTTAGCCTGGTGGGGCTATTTGAATTTCCTACAATATTCTATGTACTTTTTAAACTTCTAGATCTCATCCTTTTGCTTCCTCAGATCTCCCCACAGTTCTATCCTCCAAGCTGCAGCTTCATTTGGGCACCACCTGCTAGAATACCTCTGAATGCCCCCCATACAGCTCATGTCAATCATACCACTCTCTAGGCCTAGAGAGCAAACATACATCAGGCAGGAATTGAAGCTAACTTTTTTTATCTGTCATCTCAGTCCAGGGCTGGGCTTTGCATGTCAGAAAGGGGCTGTCACAATCATCTGTTTGTGGTTATCTACTAATCTTCATGTTCAAGAAAAGTTGGGGTAGGAATTGCTTTCTCATGACTAGACAAGAAAGAAAGAAGAAAAAAATGTTGAATCAGAAATATAAAACTTCTATCCTACCACTAAAGTATTAAATGTATCCTACTTTTTCAAAAACAGAGGAAGAAGAGGGAGAAAATATATATGAAGAGGGGTGGCTCAAGTTACGAAGGGGTCTATTTCCCATCTCTGGTTCTTCACGACCCCATCATGAACATACCCAGTGATGAGGGTCCCTAGTGGTGACTCTGGACCATTTTGCCTTGGAGCCTTAGTTTTCTCAACTGGAAAATGTGAGTGATTATCCCTACTCAGCCTGTCTTACTGGATAATAGGTGTGAAAGTGCTTTGTAAGTGTTAATTCTAGACCTATATGAGTGATGACTAATTTCCAAAGGCCAGGCCACCCCCTCCTCCAACCCTCACACTCATCCCCACCCCTAGTGTATTTCCTCTGCTAAAATACATGAAACCACTGGGGTTTGTAGAGAAGCAAATGCTTCCTTTTATACCCATGCTGTTGACTGATGTTGGAAGTGTCCCATGATCCTTGGACTATTATTAGGGAAGGTTACACTGGTAAAAGGAGGCTAAAAACAGCCGGCAGAGCCTTCATCAACCTTTTGGTTTCCCATTTCAGAAACCAGTTTTAAAATAAAAACTTTTTCCCTTAAAAAGAGCCCATTTCTGTAGTTCTTTACAACACACTGAAAGGAATGAGATTTTTGCTTTGCAAGATTGGGGAGTTTATCCTTCCTGAGTTTGCTCAGCCCGGCCCTTAACCCTGGAACATTTTTTGTTCCAAACTGGAACTTGAGCCTTGAAGTTCAGCCAAGTTGGGTGGACTTCCTGGTGCCTTCACTGCTGGCCTGTCTGAGCCCTGCCCTAGGATAAATGCTCATGACTCCAAATGAAGCAGAATCTCAGGAACAGTAGGAGAGCTGGGGAGGGAGGAGTTTGGGACTAAAGGACTCCTGGGTTCCTGCTCCTGAGTCCACATCTGTCTTTGCGCTACCCATGGGAATTTATACCTCCCACATTCTCTTTTCTTTTTTGTTATTTTCTTAATTGACAAAAATTATACATATTGATGGCATACAAGATGATGTTTTGATGTATGTATTATGCAAACATTGTGGAATGGCTAAATCAAGCTAGTTAACATAGACAATCACCTTATGTTTTGTGATGGAAACACTTAAAACCTACTCTCTCAGCAGTTTTTGAGTTTGCAATATATTGTTATTAACGATAGTCACCTCGTTGTGCAACAGATCGCTTGAATTTACTTCTCCCGTCTAACTGAAATTTTGTATCCTTTGACCAATATCTCCCCAATCTCTCCCCTGGCAGCCTCTGGTCATGACCGTTTTACTCTCTGCTTCTATGAGTTCAACTTTTTTAACACTCCACATAGAAGTGCCACATTTTCATCTGAATTACCCTCAGGCTCCAGGACTCCTGCGGCGGGCAGGCTGCTGAAATCATTCTTCTACTCACCCCCCTCCCCAACACATTTGAACCTCGCTTCATTTACCGCCCCCACCTCCTCCAAAGCAGCCGAGATATTTTAAAACCCTTGTTTTGATCTTCTTTGCATATCAGTTACACTATTTCTGAGTGTGTTTATTTTTATTTTTTTTTCCGGTGGTGAACCCGTTGCTTTGAGCTCTCTGCTCGCACGTTTCCACTTCCTCTCACTTTCCTGCACGCGGCTGTGGCCTCTGGGTGTGTGGCTCAGAGTAGGCTGGAGGATTCTCCTGGGCCTGCAGCCGTTGATAGTCAGGGGAGGTGGTGCCCACTGGTGCTTCATGGTTCCTGACATCTACAGAGACAATGTGACATTTGTGTTGTGCTTTTTGGTCCACCTTCCTAGGAAATAACCCTAACTACTAGTCTGGTGATGGGGAAAGAGCCCTTGACTGAGCATGAGGGAGGTCAGAGGTTTAGTTCCAACTCTGACATCAGCTTTGAGAAAACTCTCTACCCTCTTTGGATTGGAGTTAAAATTGTTAAAACCTCCATGGCTCTCAATTTCCAGAATTCTAACCAGCGTCGAGATGCTTTTCTATCAATTAGCAAAATAATTTATGTATTGAAGATTAGCTTAGGGTCGGCTTCTGGGATTAAAGTGTTGGAAACACAGGGAAGATTGAGGTACCCCACTTTCAAGAAGTGATGATTGAGATTTGTGGATTAAACCATCCCTTTGTGATAGGACCTTGTGAAATATGTGTGACGAGACTTGTGAAAAGTCTACACTAAACCTGTCATGACATACATCTGAGCCAACACACTTCCCAGCATTTTTAATATCACAGCATACTTAGAAAGTGATGTTATTTGTAGAGCATACTGGACAAATAAACAAGGCCACTCTTGTCTGGTGATAACTAACTCATTAATTTGGCTGCACTATACCTTTTCTGACCACTCCAAGGACTTGAAGCGACAATATATGGACCCATTTGAGGCCCATATTTGGGAAGTTTTTGTCTAAAGGATTAAGATAACTCCCTGTCTGACCAGAAGAACAATGGTGTTCTGGACTGTGAAAAAGCACAGAATTCTAGAGAGGTCAGAACAGGTAAGAAAGTGAATCCTAAATTCAGATCATGGGATTCAGAAAGAGACTCCACTATTTACCAGCTGTGTGTTATGGGAAACCACCAAAGCTCAGTTTCTTCTGTCTTTGAAATGGAAATAATAATATTCTCAATCTCCAGAGGACTAAATAGGGTAATGCACCTCAGCACATTCTAAGTACTTAATAAATGCTGTCTGTGATTATGACTAGTGTTAAACAAGAAATTAAAGGTCATCAGGTTTAATCCTCTCACTCGACAAAGGGGAAAATTGACTTGATCAAAGTCACACAGCTAGTTAGTAGCTGAACTGGCATTAGAATCCAAGCCTTCTGATTTCAGTTCTGTGCATTCATATACTAAAGGGTATGACCCTTAATTCTCTATTAAAAGCATTCAAATCCCTAAGTATTTAAGGTGGGTTCTCCTTTCCAGGAGACATTTTAAAGGTAGGACAATTCCTACTTGTCTTGAATTCGTTTTTCAGTGACCCTACCTTGAAACATGAGCTTGAATGAGATGATTTCTTGAAGGTTTGCCTCACATTTCAGGCAGGTAGCCAAGAACCAAGCTACAGAAGGCATGGAAATAGGTTCAGCGGTTGTGTATCTGGCATCTCAGATGCTAAAAGCTCCAGTTACTTGGAAGGTTGAGGCAGAAGGATTGCCTAAGCCCGGCAGGTCAAGGCTGTGGTGGCCATGAGCATGCCACGACAATCTAGCCTAGGCGACAGAGTGAGACTCCAACTCAAAAAAAGAAAAGAAAAGAAAAGAAATGTGCTTTCTTCCTTTCTTTTTTTTTTTTCTATGTTCAGCCACAAAGGATTGAGGCAGCTTATAGGAGTAATAAAGAGTACGTAAAAATAAACTTCAATATTTTAAAAACAGGCCATAGGATCTCTAGGCATATGTCTAATGTGGTAGCTTCCAGACACATGTGCTTATTTAAATTTAAATTTAAAGTAGTTAAAATTAAAGACAATTAAAATTATGTTCCTCAGGTTCATTGGCCACATTTAAGTGTTCAATAGCCAGATAAGACCAATGACTATTTATTGGTCATTGCAGATATAAAATAGTGCCATGATTGTTGAAAGTTCTATTGGACAGTGCTGTCTAGACAGACAACCAAGTCATATAGTCTTACACCATTGCAATTAATCAGCTGTAATTTTGGCTTTGAACTTCAAGTTGGCAAAGCCCCCCCAAAAAAGCAAAATCAGTTGTATCAGTATCAATTCCTAAGAGGAAGCAAAGTTTTCTAACACTTAAACCTAAAAGAATTTCTCATATAGGGCTTTATTGTAAAGGTCACTGAGTGACATAGCAAATAATGTCCTTAGAAACCACAAGAAACAATGTAGGAACAAATTTCAATTTCAATTTTTATATTGATTCGCTATAAAAGTTGAGGGTACAATTCATTAGAATTCAACTCAATGAAAACACTTCTCCTGTGAGGGAGTCCTAGAGAGAGATATATTAGCAACATTGGTCAAGTGAATCTGCTCTAAGGGAATGACATTTGTACTGAGACCTGAATGACAAGATAAAGCAGCCATTGTAGAGCTGGAAAAAGAACATACAAATGGAGGGAAAGGTAAGTGAAAAGTCTTCAGATCAGAAACATTGGCAAGATTGAGGAAGATAAAGTCCAGTGAACATTGAGGATGAGGCTGAGAGTAGAGGAAGATGATGCAAGGCAGGTAGTCAGGGCCAACTTATACAGGGTTTTACAGCTCATGGTGAGAGGGCTTAGCCAAGAGGTGACATTATAACTTGTGGCTTTAGGAAAATCAGTCTGGTCACTGCATGAAAAGCAAACTACAGAAGGCAAAGTGTGGGCAGGAGAAGAACATGGTGGTAGCTTGGAATAAGATAGTAGTGGTGACGGTAATAAACTATCGAAATTGACATATATTGTAATTTAAAGGTAACAGGACTTGTTGATGGAGTAAACATGGAGCTTCAGGAAAATAAAGCAAATGAGAATGACCCTTAGTTATTTGCCTTGACCAAATAGCTAGCAGACCAGTTACCACTTACTGGGATAGGAAAGATTTAGGGAAGAGGAATTTGGGGTGGGGAAGGAATAATTCAATAGTTTGGTTTAGGTCACAGTTTGTGTGAAATTCCTCTTACATATACAATAGAGTTATCAAGTCTAGTCTAAAGCTCAAGGGAGAAGCCAGTTCGAGATAGATTTGAGGTTATCTGCATATAAATGGTATTTTAAAGACATGGGACTCAATAATAAATTCATCTAGGAAGAGTATAAACGGGAGGGAGACAAGAACCCCAGAGCACTCCAAAATTTGATGTTGAGGAGAAAAAGTCAGACAAGGAGACAGAAAGGTAAGGGCAAACCAGGTGAATGTGATCACAGAAACATAGAGAAAGGTGTTGAAGTATAAAGGACCGATCCTGTCAAATTCTGCTGAATAGTCCAGTTAGTTGAGTACACACTGGCTTCGGAAACATGTAGGTCATTGATGATCTTGTTCAAGTGGAGTGATAGGGTCAGAAGAAAATTGGTGCTAAAGAAGTGAAGATAGGAAATGTGGATCTCACTTTTTAAAAAAATTTTCTTTTAATTTTTTTTTTTTTTTGAGTTGGAGTCTCACTCTGTCGCCCAGACTGGAGTGCAGTGGCCGCTCCCGGCCACTGCTGCCTCGACCTGCTGGGCTCCAGCGATCCTTCCGCCTCAGCCTTCCCAGTAGCCGGAATTACAGGCGCGCTACCACGCCCGGCTGATTTTTTGATTTATTGTAGAGATGAGGCCTCGCTGCCTAGGCGGGTCTCGAACCTGCGGGCTCAGGCAATCCACTCACCTCAGCCTCCCAAAGGCGCAGGATTACAGGCTGAGCCATCGAGCCCGGCTTGGATCTCACTTTTTAAGGTTTTTTGTTATTTTATTTTATTTGAGTTGTAGGGTACATGTGAAAATTTACTACAGAAGTAAATTGCATGCAGGTGAGATTCAGGCTTCTAGTGGGCTCTCTCTCCCCCTAATAGGACCAGATACCCAGTGTGTAGTTGTGTGCCCCTTATCCTCTCTTCCTCCCTCCTTTTGCAGTGTCCAGCTTCTGTTGTCCTCACCCTTGTGCTCATGTGACCAGTGATCAGGGCCTGCTTAGGAGTGAGAACATGCAGTATTTTGTAAGGTTTTTTGGTGAAGGCATCAAATAAATGGTGTGGTAGCTAGAGAGATAAGTAGGGCCAAGGGAGAGTGTCTTTTGGGGGGGTGTTATAAAAGCATATTTATATGCTGATGGGATAGATGTAACAGAACATCAGAAATTAGCATCGCAGGAAGGAAGTATGGAAAAAAGAAAAAAAGATAGGATCCAGAGGACAGATGGAAGGGTTAACCTTAGAACCCATGACACTTCTCCCACTGTAATGAGAGGGAGGCAACATATGTGGGTACAGATAAAGGTGGGTTGAGGAGTCTGTGGTGAAAAGATGAAATAATTCTCCTCTGATAGCAAGAAAGAAAGATTATAGTCCGGGGGAATGAAAAGGGTGGAGCACAGTGGATATTTAAGGAGAGAGACAAAGATGTGAGAGAGTTAATCCAGAGATTAAAATGTGAATTTTCTAGAAGTGCTGTAGAGCCCTCTGGCAGGGATCATTTGAGGTTTGTGATCACAAGTTTAAAGAGAACTGAATAGCATGGTCTGCAGTGCTCTAATCATTCTGCTGTTTAGGTGCAAGTGAAGGAGGAGTGAGAGGATAATTATATTTCACCAGGAGTGCAGCTTTGCCAGACATAATAAAGGGGAAAGCAGCATGGGAATTTGGGGTCTTGGAAGGAGAGTGACGGTGGAATAGAGTAGAGGGAGTTAAGGTTGGAATAAGAGCTAAGGCTAGTCAGGAACACAATGTCACTGGGCTCCACATAAATCCAAACTGTCTGCCTGGATCCATCAGTATGCCAAGAGTTTTTCTTCCCTCTACAAAGAGAGCTCATTATTGACTTCACCTGGTTTCTGCCACATCTAGAGATCCCCCTTCAGGGTTATGCAACCAATTAGGAACTTGAGTGCTGGGCACCAAACTGGGTAGAAGGGTCGTTCCTGAGCACACTCTGCAGCCAAGCCGCAGCACGTGACTGACACCTAGGAGGCAGTGTGGCTGGCAGAAAAACACCCCAGACGTGCAGAGAGAAGACCTGGGTTTTGGTCAGTTTCTGTGGGTCTTACCAGATGAGAAAGTTTTCTCATACTTTGAGCTTCTGTTTGCTCTTGTTATAGCTCCAGTCTGGCCTAAATAACAGCTTCTTACACAGATCGAATGAGATGGTGAATGTAGAACCATTTTCAAGTGTTAGGGAGATGTGAAAAATTACATTGTTATTATGACTCTGTAAAGTGGCACCAAATGCAAATTTAAGGCATTTGCTAGAGTGAGATTGATTTCAAATGTCAACAAATATAGGTCACCATGGCTTATAAACAATTTGCCTTAAAATTAGAAACTGATGAAATGCTTAAAATGAACAGCAGTGCATTTCAAAACAGAGGCAATGGGAAGCAACGTTCTCTCTTTTTTGTGCAACATCCTTTGAACCCAGGTTCTCACAGGACCAGGATATTGCTGCGGTTGGCAGCCCAGTGTGCTTATAACAGCACAGGACTAATCCCTGAATCACTCTGTAATCCTCAGTGAGTAACTTTTCCTTTGGATACCTCAATCGTCTTCTCTGTAAAGTGGGAAGAATCGTACCACCTGCTATTCAACTTATAAGGGTATCAGGAAGATTCTATTATTAAATAATATTAACTGAAAAGTACTTTTGGTTACTCTGAAGAGCAATTGGCATACATTTGAAGTGCCACTATTATTAAGTGTGAGGCAATCCTTCCCATCCCCACCGTGTCCCAGGGCTACAATGTGAGCTGTGTGACAGGCTATTTTTAAATTCTCATCTCTGGAAGCATATGGCCCTACACGGTGCCAAAAAGAGAAAAATGACCTGTTTCTGTTTGTTTGCCTGTTTGTTTTGATGTGAAGGAACATTTTCTATGTTCCTGCTAAAGACTGTTCTTCCTACTCTAAACCTCTAAGGTGAGTGTTTAAGATTTTCTACAGCATAGTCTGAAACAAACATGGAACTATAACTTGTTCAGGCAATAATAAAAGACAACACTTGGGCAATAGTGTATTTATACAGATCTTCTATCTCAATTAAGACATTGCAAAAATACTAGAATGATTTCACTTTTTATGATTTTTTTCTCTAGTTTCGTGGTAATTTTGCTTGCTCAGTGGCAGCATTTTAGGCTTATTTTTGCAAATATTAGAACACTTATTTCATAAAATAAGTTCCTTTGTTTCAATGTTACCTACCAAAAATATTGTTTCAGTGTTTTCCTGGTTGTTTATTATTATTATTACTTTTGTTTCTATGTTTTCTTACTATCAGGCACTATTGGCTGAAGCCCTTTCCTACTCCAAATAAATAGTATTTCTATTATGAACTTTATTTTTTGCTGCCCCCTTGAACTGACCTGACTTCACCCCACCCCACCCCCGCTGTACTATTTGGCAAGACTATTCTGAATCTTGTCAAACTTCCCACTCATTGGATTTGATTTCTGACACCAAATCCCTGGAAAGATATCTACTGATCAGTTGGAAAAGGAAAGAGATGAAAATGCCTATTTCACAGGTTTCAGGGGACCTGATTTTGGGCAAGAGCAAAAACAACTTCCCCGGTTGAATTAAATAAGGATCCTTAAAGTCTTTTATTTTCTTTCTTTCTCTCTTTCTCTCTCTCTCTCTCTCTTTCTTTCTTTCTTTCTTTCTTTCTTTCTTTCTTTCTTTCTTTCTTTCTTTTCTTTCTTTCTTCCTTCCTTCCTTCCTTCCTTCCTTTCCTTCCTTCCTTCCCTCTTTCCTTCTTCTTTCTTTCTTCCTTCCTTCCTTCCTTCCTTTCCTTCCCTCCCTCCCTCCCTCCTCCTTTCCTTCCTTCCTTTCTTTCTTTTTTCTTTCTTCCTCTTTGAAATTCAGGATCCAACTTTCTTGTCTTTGGGTCAAGTGATAGGTAAAGATAGAATCGAGAAGGTCTCATGGCACTTATTCAATTAAAAAGGTAATGTATCAAGGCACATGATGAGGTGGAAGCAGACTTTGTATGTTCAACTAAATGTATCATGAACATGTAAGGAGAGTCAGTGTGGAGTGTTCTATATGACCATGGGAGCCAATCAGGAAAATTCACAAAAGTGAAAAATTGAAAAATGTGTGGGGCTACAGACACATCCAACATGGGGAATTTCTTGCTCAATCAGCAGTGAATGCTCGTCATTAGAGAGATTCAGAAAGAGGGTGGATGACCCCTTCTGCTGGGGATGTTGCAGCAAAAAATTATTATGTTGGCTTCATGTGAAAGCGGGTGACCTTTATGATCCTGTCCAGCTCTGATACCGTGGCTCAGTCAGCAGCTTCACATTTTTTTTAATAGATAGACAAATAGACATTGTTCACCCATTTGGGATTTTTAAGAATCTTCCAATGTTTATATAAAGAGAATCCATACTTGTTTGCCCCTCCTTGCCCAATTTAACTCAAATCCCAAAGTTTAGTCACCAAAGTAAAGGAAGGGTTAATAATATGACTTGCCGTCCCCCTACAAATAGAACTATCTTTCACTTACGTGTCATTCTTTCTCCATCTCCATTGGTCTGGTCTAGAGCCACATCATCTCAAGCCAGAGGCCTGCAGCAGCCCTCTTCCCTCCTGAATCTCTCCACAAGATCATTCTTTACACAGTCCCCACAAATTATCATTTCATCATCACCTATCATTTGTCTAAAAACTGTTCTGTCTCTCCCTTGCTTACAACTCTCCTCAATTCTTAAATCCATAATTTCAAGCCTGACTGGAAATTCTAACTCCAAGTCTATGGGTCTACCCAAAGTCCCTGAGTAAGCTGTTGACCAGTTGCTTCAGTTGTGCTGTACCCACAAAGACTTTCTTCACCTTCTCTGTCTACTTCATCACCTGACCTGAGCCTCCCCTCCTCCAGGAAGCATTCCCTGACTTCTCCACTCCATCCATTATCTCCCCCTTCTCTGCATTCCTAGAGCTGCTCAGGGTCTTTGATTATCATTTAAGTAATAAGTACTTCACAGCCCTGAGGTGTTATATATCTGTTTTCGGGGTTGGGAGCCGGGGGAGAGGGGTGTGCCTTGGTTTCCCAACATTGGGTTGTAAGTTCCTGAAGGGTAGGGACTATCTCTGACATTTCCTTTGAAAGCTGCTGTTGCTTAGCACACTGTTGAATACAGAAGAGTAGCAACAATTCCGCACACTCCTGGCAGGCTTTAGAGTTTACAAAGCACTTCTACATGTCGTTCATTTAATGCTCTCAACAAGTAGGTGAGGTCTGCAAGGCAGATGGTGAAGAGTATATTATGGGTGAGGAAAATGAGGTTCAAAGAGCTTGTTATACCTGCAAGTACAACAGGTATTCTGCTTTCCCAGTAATAACCATTAAATGAGTAAATAATAAACAAATCTTGCAGTTCAAAAATATGTGGCTAGCCAAAGAGAAGTGGCCACATATTTGGCAACTGTCCCATCATGTTGATGTAGGTTGACCTCTAATCCAGGCTAAAGAATCCTCTTTGTTTCTGTCTTACTGACAAATAGTCCATGTATCTTTGACTCTGGTCGTGTTCTACTAATGACATGAGATTCCTGTGAGAGTAGAGAGTGCTTTGGGATGTGTTTCTATGGGAGACTAAATGGAGATTAGTACTTCAGACATTGCTCTGGGCATTCTCTGGGTCTGTCCGTCTGGAGGCTTTTAGGAATCTGTGACCAGGGAAGACAGAAAAGACAGGGCTTGAAAGAGATCTTAGATACCAATTGGACTTCAGTATTCTTCACTTCTTTAACTACTCGATTTATCCAATCACATTTAAATAAAATTTAAAAGACTTTGCAAATGTGTTTCTGTTCCTCTAGAAATTACCTCTGAATTTTCTAGTATAAACGTCTGCCAGCTTTGTTCAGCCAAGTTCCTTTTCCCCCTCTTTTCTTTGACAATGAAAGCAGCTTTGGTGCCAACGCTCGGATCTGGCAGGTGTTTGATGACACATGTTCTGTGATAAATGTTTATTACATAAGTTCATTCAAGCTAGCTACCAGAGCTTTTGAGGCATCATTGCTACTTATCATAAAATTGTCCTTGAAAACCAGAAGCCCAAGATATTCCCAAAGGATCTATTTATTTTCTTTCTTCTTTTAGGTTCTCTGTGTTCCCTCAACGTCTGGTGCAACGGAGAAGTCAAGAGATGGTGCTTGCATCCTGACTCTGTCACAAGCTGGCTGTGTGACCCTGGGGAAGCCACTTCTCTGCTCTGAGTGTTCATTGCTCATTTGTAAAATGAAGAGGTGGGAGCCGTGATTGCCAAGGTCTCTCTAATGTCTGACATGCCCCCACGAGAGGACAAACTGGTGGGGAAAAAAGCAATTTCAGTCAAGCAGAAACACATGCTTGCCTTTCCTCACCCAGAATGTGCTTTACATAACTGAATTTGCTTCCTTTTTTACTGGCTCACCCTCCAGTCAGGAGGGAGGGGAGCAGCCCTGCCTGCCCCAGCTTGGAGAGGGCAAATCTACAGGTAGAGATATGGGAAAGGCCGTGCTGTTGAGTGAAGGAGAGGCAGATGCCATGAATTACCTAGACTTCATCACAATTCTTATTTCTTTGATTATTTTACATTAAAGTGAAAGGGCATTTCAGGATATTTAAAGTATAAAAGCCTACAAGAGAACTGCTAAGAAACTTCCAGTCCCATGATTATTCTAGGTAAGGCATTCAGAAGCTTTAATTCTGCAAATTGGATTATTTTTGAGAAAAGTATAGAAAACAAAAACATGCATATTACAAATTTTAGAGTTATCACCGTGATATTCTTTTGTCCCAAAACTTTCGACTAGCCCATGTGGAAACTTGTTTAGGTTTGTCCATCCATTAAAGTTTTTACCGTAATAGTTCGCATACCTTGTTATTGTCTTCATTTTACAGGTTAAGAACCTGAGGTGTGAACAGGTTTAACAACTTGTCAGAATATTCAAATTGTAGGTAGCAAAGTCGAGAGTTAGCCCAGATCCTTTACCACCTGGTCCAGAAAGCTCCCTGCTAGTGTACTTTAAGGCATTCTTCCCCACTTCCCCACAGAGAGCTCTTCTTGGCCTCAGGCAGACAGATGAGTAATTATCTAAAAGCCTGAATCAGGGATCACATTCACGTTCTAAAGTACTAACATAGAATCACAGGCACTTAGAGCAGTGAAGTTCCCTAGACATCATGTAAGCTTTTTTCCTAAGCTGAGTACCTTTCTGGTACTCTGAGACAAGTTGGATGAAAACGAACACTGAAATTTTTATCTCCCACTGTATACTGTTCAAGAGACTTGGTATTAAAAGCCAAAGGGATTTAGAAGTTGGATCACTAAATAGAAGATCAAGAGTTATTTTTTCAAGTCACTTAGTAATCCTGCTAACCAGGATTAGACAGAGTTTACTTTTGCCTCAGTTTCTTCAATGACTTCTATTAGACAACTTCACCAAAATATGGTAGAGGGACCAAGGCAGAAATAAATGTGACTGTCCATGAGCTACTCATTCTTAACCTTTGGCATGTTTTGAAAATGTGTTGTGAAATGCTTACCATCAATAATTCCATCACCGGGCAGTAGTGAGACTGGGGATTGTGTAAGAGGGAAAGCAGGGCATTAATGCTGTGTCATTCAGGAGTCTCCAAACTTCTACTGAGGGCAGTACATTCCACAGGACCCAAAGACACAAGGTCCCCATAAAGTTTTTCCAGAGAAACAAAGTGAGGTCTGAGGACAAAAGGGGAATGAAAGTGCACTTCTTCCCTTGCATCAGATCAGTAAAGTGGTACTAGCGGCCTAGTGTGGATACTCCCAAGCTAGCGCATCTGTCCTTTCTGCGGAGGCCCAAGGTCAATGTTACACTCTTGGCTGCTGCTAGGCAACTCTTCTGTATACCCCAGACAGCAGCTTGACCTCCAGGTACTTCAAATGTCCTAGGTGAAGGAGGCGGCTGGTACAAGGGAAAGAAGGACAGAACAAGGAGGCTGAAGACCCAACTCAAGTCCCTGTCTGCTTCTTGCTAGGCCTATGACCCTGAGAATGATCATATCACCTCCTGGACCTCCAGGCTCTTCCTTTCTACCAAGGACATATGACATCTGCCCCATGGATTATGCCAAGCTCAGAAGCAATGAGGGATGTGAAAACACTTTGCAAACTATACACAAGCAAGCGACTATTAGTAGAAACCCATTGATCTGATTTGCAAGCTCAGATGGAAGGTGTTTCCCATTTAAGGAATGGCACTGGGGTATGACTTGTGGTTAGAGGCAAAACTAACACTGAAGATAGTCCCAGGCAGGTGACAGAGGAGAACTCTTGAACTCTGGTTTGTGCCAATCACTGTCAGCTATAAGCAGTGTTGTGATGGAAAATGTTTAACTGTCCTATAATGGTGAGAAAGTCCTGAATTATAGGTTTTGCCGATTTCCATGGTAAATGCTTGCACCATGGCAGGATACTTCCACATTCAAGCTATCAATGTGACACAATAATCATGGAGTGAGGAAAAGATGTCCACACTGGCTCTCATGTGAGGTGCAAGCCTGCACAACCCTGGAAGTTCTTCCCAAGGCTCAGTTTGGTATAATGAACTATGGAAGTCTTCTTGACAAATGAGACTCGGGTTGTAACATACAGCCCCAGAGTCTGCTCTTTGTATAATTCAGAAATGAAAATTATTCTAGCATCCTACGTAATGTTTCTTAACTCTCAAGTCTGATGACCTAAGACATCGGTAAGCAAGGAAGAACAGAACACAGCATAAAAATGGAGGCCAAGAATCTTAGAGCGGTGTTAGCAATCCCATCTGTGTGAACTTGTACAAGTCACCTGCTTTTTCTGAGCCTCAGCGTCTTTCTTTTCTTTCTTTCTTTCTTTTTTCTTTTTTTGAGAAAGGTTCTTTCTTTATTGCCCATGCTAGAGTAAAGTGGCACGATCATAGCTCACTGCAGCCTTAAACTCCTGGGCTCAAATGATCCTCCCACTTTAGCCTCCTGAGTAGTTGGGATAACAGGTGAGTGCCACTGTGCCCTGCTTTGAGTCCGTTGGGGGAACCTGGGGAATCTGCATTTTAAACAAGTGCCCCTAATTCAGTTGCAAGCAGAATCTGACCACAAAACTTTGTATGATGTGAAACTTGATGGAGCGGAACAAGGGAAGAAGTCTCTATTGATTCTCTGCCAGGTACTTGATAGAAAGCAACATTTCTTGAGGGAAATCCTAGCTGTGCAGGGAGACACCTTTATAATCCACTTTCTGGTCAGGTTTCTTTCTTCCTTTAGTACCATATCACTGTTCCTATCCACCCAACCACACACCACACAGGATGGTCAAAATATACAGCTGTGCCTGGGTTGGGCACACAGAATGCAACCACTCAGGCTTCTGCAAACAGTGAAACCATCTCCTGCCTGCCACCCAGCTCCTAGCCAAGGCCAGCACAGAGAGATGATTTCAGAGAGATTTGTCAGAAGCAGTGTCTATCTACCCACTCCTTCAAATATCCTAAAGGAAGCATTCTGTTGATCTGTTGATCAACACAACACCTAAGGTCTGTACCACTTAATCAACACATCCTAATCTCGACCTTATTGTCCCGAGTAAAACAGAGTTCCAGCTTTCATCCACCTATTTGTTAATAAACAATTACCAGGCTCCAACTATGTTAGACCCATAAATATAGGTGAAAATCTAGAAAGAGTGAGGTATTACTTCTTTCTTTTTCCTTTTTTTTTAAGTAAGGGTCTCACTCTGTCACTCAGGCTGGAGTGCAGTGGCATGATTATAGCTCAACACAGCCTTGACATTCTGAGCTCAGGCAATCATTCCACCTCAGCTTGCTGAGTAGCTGAGACTACAGGCACATGCCACCACATCAACTATTTTTTTTTTTGTAGGGATGAGGTCTTGTTATGTTGCCCAGGTTGGTCTTGTACTCCTGGGCTCAAGTGCTGGTCTTCCCAAATGCTGGAATTACAGGAATGAGCCACCACACTTGGCCAAGATTCCATTTCAGTCTTTAAGAAATTAATAGCCTTGGATATTTAAGTAGCCAAAAAATGCTCAGTATCATTAAATCATCAGATAAATGCAAATCAAGACTACAATGAGATACTACCTAATACTAGTAAGGATGACTATCATTAAAGAGTCAAAAAACAAAACAAAATAGGTGTTGGCATGACTGTGGAGAAAAGAGATCACTTCTACACCGTTGGTGGGACTGTAAGCTAGTTCAGCCTTTGTGGAAAGCAGTGTGGCATTTTCTCAAAGAACTAAAAATTGAACTTCCTTACAATCTAGCAATCCCACTTCTGGGAATATACCCAAAGGAACATAAATTGCTCTACCAAAAAGACATCTGTACACATATGTTTCATTGTGGCACTATTCAAAATAGCAAAAACATGGGGCCCATCAAAAGTGGACTGGATAAAGAAAATGTGGTACATATACTTGAAATAATATTACACAGCTATAAAGAAGAACAAAATAATGGCCTTTGCAGCAACATAGATGCAGATGGTGATCATCATACAAAGTGAACTATCACAGAAATGAACTGAATACCATATGTTCTCACACATAAGCAGGTCCTGATCACTGGTCACATGCATTAGCACAAGGGTGGAATCTGCAGATGCTAGACACTGCTAGGGAGGGAGGAAGGTAAAAGGGAGGGGTCACATGGCAATACATTGGGTACCACCAGTGAGACCATCATCAGGGAGAGGGAGAGCCCACTAGAAGTCCAGACTTTACCTGCACACAATTTACTTACGTAGTAAATCCTCACAGGTACCCCATAACTAAAATAAAATAAAATGGCGTTCATACTCTTGCATGAGTCAGAAACTAAGCAAATGGTGACAACATCATGTGATAAGTATGCCTGAAACTTAAAAGTATCGGGGCATACAAAGGAGGGAAAGCCTAACCATGGTGGCTGTTGGAAGAGGATCAGGAAGCTTCCCAGAACAGGAAGGCAGCAGATTTGCTTGCAAAGAAGGAGAGATTTCTAGGCAGAAGTCGTGGCCTGTGCAAAGCATGGCAGCACAAGAGGCGATGATATTGCTGGGGGAACACGTAGACTGTTGTTACCGGAACAGAGAATCTGTGGGGGGTGTGGCTGCAGGTCAGGCTGGAAACAATGCAGGCGAAACTCCTCAACTGCAAGGCCATGGGTCTAGATTTCACCTAGAAGCAATTGGCAGACTTTGGAAGATGTTCAGAAAGATTAGGTTTGCATTTTTTACAGATTAGTTTCTAGAGAGGTAATGTAGAGAACAAGTGGAAATAACAAGAAGGCAAGAAGCCATTGCAATGGTCTAAGTGAGAGATGATGGGGCCCAGAACTGAAGCAGGGGTGTTGGGGGTGGGGAGGAAAGGAAGGGTTTCCAAGAAATCAAAGAGACAATATCTCTAGGACAAAGTGAATGTGAGGGGGAGGCTGGGGCAGAGTCACCTAAATAATCTGAAATTTTCTGGCAGGGCAGCTTTGTATACATGCCGTTTTAACAGAGATAATGAACACAAGGGAGCGAACCACTTTCAGAATGAAGTTAATTAATGGAGTTTGGATTACGCACAGTTTGAGATGATTCTGGAATATCCAGGTGAGGAAAGTTAGTCAGTAGTTAATTTGTTCCTGGAGTACAAAAAAGGAACAAGATGGAAATATAAGAACTTTCCTGCATTAAGTTTCTCAGTGATATATTCCTTTGCAAAATTAATACCAGAAAGTTAATTTTCTGTCTCTCTTCAATCAGAAAAAGAAAAGTATGTAAGTCATAATGTTTACTTTTTTGTCCTGTCTGCCAGGAAACTCAGATGTATTTCATACTCAATTGCAATAACTATACTAAATCTTACAACTCAACACATGTGATTTCTTGCCATTTTTATAACTTTGATTTATGATTTACAAAGTAACCTCTTTGGTATATGTCCTATATTGAAAACTGCCTCTACTTCTCTCTGGTAGTAAAAAATTATGTATGTTTTCACCTGACATTAAGTTGGGCCCTATTTACTTTAAATATTTTTAAGACTCCAGAGGAAGTTTTTTTTGTTGTTGTTTTGTTTTTTTACAATCTATGAGAATAACTATTTTCCCCCAGGCATAAGAGAGAAAACAAAACAAAACAAAACAAAAAAACTCTCTTTGAAAAGGGAATTTATCCTTAGGGACTAGTAGTGACAGCCAAGGAGCCAGAAGTGTATAGATTATTATAGAAAGCTATAGTCATTGATTGAAAAAGAGCATCAAAATGGTATGAGGAACAAAACCTGAGCAGATGAGTCTCTACTTCTCAGCCAGGTAGAACACCTTATTCCCAAGACAAGGCATGGCCATGGCAAAAATATCATCATAAGGTTTTGAATAAATTCCTTTCAGGTTATTAAGGGATATCCTTAACCTTGGAGAAAAAAGAATATGTCACAGTAATTGCTGTTTTTATCATTTAAAAATGCTCTTAGATTCATTATCCATCTTAATCTTCTCCAGTGTTCTGATGAGTAGGTTAAGGCAGAAACTACGTTATTTATATTTTAAAGACACGTATTCTTGCAAAATGTTACTTGGCACCAATTGTCAGAATAGAGTACTGGGCTGGGCTTACTTCCCTTTGCTAAGACATTCACAGTTATGAAAGTAGAATAAGGCCGGGCTCGGTGGCTCAGCCTGTAATCCCGCACCTTTGGGAGGCTGAGGTGAGTGGATTGCCTGAGCCCGCGGGTTCAAGACCCGCCTGGGCAGGCGAGACCTCATCTCTACAATAAAACCCAAAAATTAGCCGGGCGTGGTAGTACACGCCTGTAATTCCGGCTACTCGGAAGGCTGAAGCGGAAGGATCGCCGGAGCCCAGCAGGTCGAGGCTGTGGTGGCTGGGAGCGGCCACTGCACTCCAGTCTGGGCAACAGAGTAAGACTCCAAATCAAAAAAAAAAAAAGAAAGTAGAATAACAAGAGTAAAATGATGCTCCCTTATTTGCACCCAGCACTCTGCAATTCTAGAGCACTACCACCTCCATCACAATGTGTGGCCCTCACAACCAGCCTCTGAAGTCAGCTGGGGAGGATTTATTACCTCCATTTTGTAGATACAAAAACTGAGCCTCAGAGGTGCACTATATATTGTGCTCCCTCTTAGCTATCTTGGTAGAGTCAAAAGAGGAAACATCATTACTCTGTACTCCTGACATACCCCCACAGTGCCCAACAACTTGGAATCCTCTTGAGCTTTCCAAAGGAGGCCCTCCTTCAGGCTTCAGCAGCTCATTTACTGGCATTGTGAGATGCTAATTATAGAAACTACCAAATGGACAGTTTTCACTCATCTGACTTCCCCCTTTCACTAATGAATGCAGTCACTCCGTCCCACAAAATCAATAGTGGGTTAGAGTCCCTTTTTTCCTTCTGATAGAATTTACCTGCCTCCGGTTTCATCAGGCAAGAGGTCAAAGTGCAGCCAGTCAATAAAGTGACAACCTAAACAATGTTTAAAGGAGTCAGTGAAATTAAGAACATTGCATCCTATTAGGCCAGGCTCAGCAGAACTTTTTAGTCATGTGACCACATGTAAGTCACTTTACCTCCCTGAGTCTTGCTTCCAAATACAAAATAGGTAAAAAATAGCCTTTGTCCTGTCTCATCTTGTAGAGTGGTTATGACATTCTAAGATCATAGTTGGGTGTTATTAGCACCTTGAAAATATGCTCTAAGAATGTGAGGGGGATTCAGTCCTCTTCATGCAGGAAATTCCAAACCTGTAATTCAAGGGGAGAGAGATAGCATAGGAAAAGCATGAGTCTCATGGAACAGAAACAACTGGGTGCGGCATGCAGTGAGGCCTGCATCGTGGTGAGAAGAGAGACACTGGGGTGACATGCACTGCTATTCAAGTCCCTTTTCCACATATGCCCATGCTGACAAAAGTCACCAGAAAATACAATCAGAAGCTTCTTTAAAAGAATCAATTATACCAACAATTGTACTCCTCAAGGAAGATAAAATTTACATACTTCCTGCAATCAATCAATCCCACAGACTTCTTGACACTTTAATCAGAGACTCTGCAAACTACTAAGTGATACATGTGGGCTTTTTTGTTTGTTTGTTTGTTTGTTTGTTTGAGAAGACAGACTAGAGGTGAGAAGGAGACACTGGGCTCTTTAACACATGTAAATGAAAACATCATCTTGGTCTATCAAGAGTTATGATGAACTCTCAGTTTTCCATTAGGAGACTGGAATTTTTAAATCATAAACAGTATAACCAGAAAACCTCTTTGAGGTCATTTTTCTACTATATCCTTTCCCCTAACCCATTTTTCAGAAAAGGAAACTAAAACTCAGACAGACATGACCTGCTTCCAGTTATATCACAAAGTAAAATCAGATAAAATCATGATCTGTGTCCTTTGCCACATTTAACTCAGCATACTTTTACTGAGCACCTACCAAACTCTTGCCAGAGAAAAAAGAATGGATAGCCACAGAATATGTCTTCAAGGAATTCAGGGTCCGTTAGGGAGACAGATTTATAATAATAAGTAAATTGTTCCAGCACAGATTTGTATGTTAATGGTACAGAGCACTGTGAGAATACACAGAATTCAGAATGGCTAATTCTGTCTGAGGCTGTTGGTGAAGGCTCTTCCCAGAAGTGGGCATTTGAGTGTATTGGCAGAGAGCGTGGAAGAGCATTCCAAGCCAAGGGAACAGAATGAACTAAAGCAAGGGGATAGGTGAAAACACAGCATGTGTAGAGGGCCCCACACAAACAGTTTGAAACAGATGGAGGATTTATAGAAAGTGCTGCAGAATCATCTCAGGGGATGTCAATAGGTCTCAGTTGTCACCCTCCTCCACCTCATTTGGCATGCTTCCTGGGGCTATGGCCTGTGTCCACCTAATGGGCCAGTACAACACCTGGCCAAGCGCCAATGGCATGGTGGGGCTTAATGAATTCCCTTTGAAGATGAGAGGATTGTGAGGGAGAAAAGAATTTGCCACTCAAGTGAGTCAACTGGAACGGAAGGTGTGTCCTAGCTTCTGAGGCCTAGCACTCTGACTGGTCAACCAGACAGCTGAGAGCCGAGGTCACCTCCCATGGGTCCACTGGGTTCCACTTGGGAACATCAAGTCTTTTTTCAGCAAGTCGTTCCTAAGCCACAACACTTCTGGCTCACCCCTTGCCTGTAAAGTTTGACCAACATAATTGATCCCAGAGCTCATTTCTGTCATACCCATGGTTTCCTAGGGAGTGATGGAATATGCAGGCCTCCTTGGAGCCCCAGAACAGCCTGGGCCTCCTAGAGGATGGCACAGAGGAGTATGGAAGAGGCAAACATAAATAGCCCTGCGCTGCTGTAGTCATCCTTTTGGGTGCTCTGAGTTTCCTGTCCTGAGCTAAGAATTTCCTGTGGGGTTAGCTGAGGCATGGAAAGATAAACACAGCTTTAAAGTGACACTCCTCATTGGAAAGCTATAGAACTTTCAAGACACTGCTTCTTCCTACCTTCTGATGAGTGTGTCCAGGCTTCCCATCGTCACACATTGTGAAGGCTCTGGAAGGGGCTTATGGGAGAAGAGAGAGCACTTGAGTATGGAGTATCCCTCAGTAGCCTTTCCAAATGTGCTAGGTCTACAAAATGTCGAAACAGCCAGGCAAATGATGCCAAGATTCACTGTGGCAGAGGGAACCAGACACCCCCAACATTCACCATTGAATATTCCAACAACCCGTAGTGACTAAGGTTGTTTCTATTTACACCTGGTTCTTTTGCTTTTACCTTACCATTGCATTAACAAATAAGATCCTTGAGTAAGCAAAACAGGTCCCTTACAGATTCTCTTGTAAGAACACACTCCTTAATCTGCTACAGATATGTAGAATCAAGAAACATTTATTCACCTAGGTTTTTCAAAACACACCTCCAAGTCATTTTCACCATATTGTTGTTATGATCTGAAAAATCAAGTGTATGCAGAAGCAGGCAGCCCATGGCTTGCAAGAGAATGAGAAGTGGACAATGAACAAAATTAAAAGCAAGTCACATATACAGTGAGTGTGTTTATAATTTATGTAACTGACAAAGGATAACTGTATCCAGAATACAGGAGAAAAAATTTCTACACATGCATAAGGAGAAAAAAAATAGAAATAGATTGTCAGACATATCAACACAAAGAACTCAGAAAAGTAAGTAATTCTTAAACAAATGGTAAGATGCCTACCTTCACAAAAAAAATCAAAGAAATGCAAATTAGAAAATTAAGAGATGGCATTTCACACCCATCACATTGGCCAAAATTTTAAAAGTCTGACAATATGAAATGTTTGACAAGATAAAGCAATAACAAACACATACACAATGATGATAGGACTATAAATGGATAACACCATTTGGAAAGAAATTTGGCAGCATCTATTAAATTTGAGGTTTAATGTACCTTATGTCTTAGCAATTCCACTCTCAGGTATAAAACCAAGAGAAGTTCTTGCATAAATACGCAAAGTGCCTTGTACAAGGATGTTCACTGCATCATTCTTTCTAAGAGGGAAAGCAATTTAAAAGCTCATTAATAGGGAAATGCTTAATAAATTGTGATATTCACACAAAGGGATATTATATAAAGTTAAAGTGAATGAACTAAAACTAATGTATCAATATTGGTACATCTAAAATACTGATGTTGAGTGATAAAACGAAAATTTCAGGATAAATCAGTATTATATCATTCATGCAAATTTTAGAAACATGAAGCAACATCACATATTGTCTTGGACACATACTTAGGGAGTAAATGTAGCAAACGAGGGCAGGATAGAAACACATTGTTTTGGTAATGGTAATTGTTCTGGGGAGGAAGGGAAAGGACTGAGAAGAGGTGAACTGTAAAGAACTCAGTTGTTTGGGGAGTTTTGGGGTTTGCTTGTTTAAAAAGCCATGCAGGCATAAGGAAATGTTAACATTCTTAAAAGTCTGAGTGGTAAGAATATAAATGAAAGAGTCAGAACAGGTTCGGTTTGTGCTGCAGTAACAAGTCTCAGCAGCTTAAAAAAACTAAGATTTCTTTTTTGCTCAGACACTGTGGGCTGGTTGAAAGAACACAAGGACAAAAATTGACAGAGTGGCCATCACCTCCTTGCTAGTCGCTGTGCCAGAAAGAAAGAAATTGACACATCATCACCCAAAGTTGCGTTAAAATTCACTCTTGGTGTTACATATTTTATGGGCTTGGACAAATGTATGATCATAATAAAAATATAAAGTAGTTTAATTGCCCTAAAAATCCTCTGTGCTGTGCCCATTCCTTTCTGCCTCCAGCCTGGAAGTGACACAAGCACCTCCTTTCACAACTAAGTGGTCAGGACTAGTACATGGCTTTACTCTGCTCAAGGGGCCAGGAAGTGCAATTCTACCACATGTCCAGTCATAGAAAGAACTAGCAATATGTAGCTAACAGTATGAAATATTACTACTATAGTACCTGTACCCTTTTTTGCATGTATAAATTATGTTTTGTATTTTACAAATAGGAAAAAATCCCTGGTTTTAAAATAAAGAGGACTGTGCTTCAATATGATAAACAGAAAGAGAAAGAAGCAGCCAGTGGTGGATAGAGGCTATCAGTCTTATAGGTCTGTTCCCAGGTCTGTCACCATCATTACCATACCTACATTGATTCTGTTCTTATCCCTTCTTCAGAAACGGACCTCCATGAAAATGACCCCAAGCAAGTTGGCCTCCTTGTTTTTATTTATATCCTCTGAGGCTGAATAGGCAATAGGAAACCTTATCCAAAGAAATGTGGTGCACGGAACACAGATATAAAGTCCCAAGTCTGTCACTCACACTTCCTGTCGCCTTGGGCAATTTGTCATACCTCCAGAGTCTATTTTCCTCAGCTGCAAAGTGGGCATAACAATAACACCCACATCTCTGAATAGTTGTGATATACAAATGAAGTATGTAAAGTATTTTGTAACTGTAATGGGCTGTGCAGAAGGTCACTATTATTAATGACCTAAATTTCACTGCAAGGGAAGCCTCATCCCGATTTACATTTCTGGTCGACAATGACTCATACAACTTCCCTCACCAGAGCCACCTGGTTGACAGAACAGGCCCAGGCATCATCCTGTGGTCCAACCGCTTAAAGAATCTATTGATTTCCCCTTGTGAAAGCGAATCTGAATCTGGGAGCAGGGATTAAGCATTATTGCAGATTCCCATAAAGAGAGAAAGTATAATTCCTATGAACATGACCTGGATGGGAAGATGGTCTAGGCCTAGACTGACGCCTGCATCCTAGACATCATGGAATAATAAGCTGGAAGAGCATGGAAGGGAAAGAGCAGCAGTTCTTCCTCCTTGTTTTTCAAATAAAGAAACATAGATCAGGAGAGGCAAAAAGTATTGTCCTTCTCAAAGAGCAAGTGAGAGAATCAAGACACCTGGGATTCATCCTGGGTCTTCTTCAGGGTAACAGGGTAAGACCCTTTCTGCCAAATGCCTCAGTTTCCTCATGGGCAGTTGAGGGATTGAACCTGATCTCCATAGTTATTTCTAATGTCTGTTATCTTAAGGACACTCGGTTTTGTTACATACGGATAACTATTTGCAGTAGAATTCTCCTGAAAAGTGAGCATTCCTAGTCCAAGTATTGACTTTGCAGGTGTGACTCTCAGGAACTACCTTCTTGTCTCCCCATGCATGCCCTGAATGCCACCTATTTTTCTGCTAAAAGGCTTTTTTTTTGGTGTCTCACTTGTTTTCTATCCTCCCTTGGAGCCTAAATGTTCTTGACTTTACCCTTACCCAACAAATATTCCTACCTACCAGTATTACCTACTTTAGGAACATGATCAGAAACATCTTCAGTGGACAGTAGATAACACAGGACATAACTCAGGAAACAGCTCACAGGCATCTCAGTCTGGCCCCCCAAAGTCACTCCTAGGGGATGCCCTGTGTGGCAATATTGCTGCTGATAGCATTTCCCCAGAGATCACAGGAAGCTGCACAACCAGATGCAAGATCTGCTGGCAGCAGGTGCATCCTGTTCTAACAGGAGAAGCAAACTCCACAAGAGGATATCTTGTGCCATATTACCTGGTTCCTTGCCCCTGAGGCTATCCAAGCTTCTCCACATAGTTTGTACTAACTTCTTCTTCTAGCATGTGCCAGGAGCAGAGAAAAGACTGAAGTCTCCATCTAAAATAGTTGGTGGCCATTACACCTGCAAGGTACTTCTTAGTCAATGAAGCACCTTCATACCCATTCGCTCATTTGATTTTTATGAAGAACTGAAAGGTAGCTGGGGAGAGAATTATTCTCCCATGTAACAGATGAGAAATTTCATCTGAAACCCAGAGAGCTCTAAGAACTTAAGGTATAGACTCCTGGTTCTAATTCCTGTTCTGGCCCTGCAGTACAACTAACATGAGTATTAACATCTCATTATAAAATAATGTTAATGATTAAGCTAGAGGATCAGTATTTCAATCACTCTCAAATATATAGGTACTCATCGGTTTACTTTTGCCTTTTAACTCACAATTTAGGGGAAGAAATCATTTCTAAAACCAAAACAGTCTTTATATTGTGGTTTGCATCATATCTGGTTTCTAGAATCCAAGTCTTCAGTATCTTTTCACCCCTTATCCACTTTCACCTTCTAATTGGGTTTTTATTTTGATCAGTTCAACTGGGGAAAGAAGGATGCAAAGCCTACTATTCCAGTTACCATGTATGTGTCCCCAACAGCAGAATGTCTCCTGAAAGGGACTTGCAAGGATAAAAGCTACAGCAGGAACTCTTTCCCTACTGTCTAAAATCCGCCATGATTCTCTATTGCTCATAGGGGTCTGTGAACCAGAAGCATCAGTATGATCTGGGAGTTTATTCGAAATTCAGAACTTCAGGCTACACTCCAGACTTATTGCATCAGAATTTGTATTTTCATAAGATTCCCAGGGGTCAATGGTAGAGTCCCTGACTACCTGAAAGCAACACTCACCAGTTCCACATTCTCACACTTTGCATCATGCCTTTGCTCCTGCAACTATTTCTTCTCCTTTTTTGTCCCTAGACCAAAACTTTCCCATCCTTTAAAATATGGCCTAAAATCCACCTCCTTCAAGAAGTCAAGTCAGATTGCCCCAGCAAGGTGTGATCCCTTCTCTAAGTCACATTGCTACCAGCCCTGCACTCTTTATCTTAGATGATAATTTTTATGATTATGATTTATCTCCCTCTCTAAATTATGAGCTCTTCAAAGTCAAGGCCTAGATCTGATTCATTTCTATATTCCCAAAGCCACATAGTACTTTGCAAAGTTCCTACCACAAACTAGTTTCCCATTGCGTTTGTCTGCAACATTTCTCTAATTGAGGTATCCAGAAAGATTAAGAAATTCAGATTACTTTTCTTATTATTTTAGACAATTATCATATATGATCATGATCTAGACTTTAAAATCTTCACCTAAAATGTTCAGTCACTATCATCAAACAAACTCATAAACACACTCCATACTCCAAACACACATACACATACAATTTTAGTTCATTTTATTTGTTCTCTATTGTTA